TTGTTGCAGACTTGTCCAAATCATTCAGCTGCTACTTCACTCTCTTTTTCAAGAGGTATTCAGTAGTCCTTGTAGTTCAAGACCTTTCCCTTTTATTGACAGAAGAGTAATATTCAACTCCATCATGAACCTCTCACACAGAGTTGTGTGAGAAAACCCCTGACATACCACTGTCTCTGCCTTTTACTCCAAAAATTCACTTCCCACATTTTTCCTACCAAAGAGGTGTATCTGGTATGTCATTCTTTGTTCTCACTGCTCTTCACACAGAAGGCAGTCCTAGCAAGTGAGGCAACAGACTCAAATGGTGGCGTGGAGCGAAATGCATCAACAGAAGATTCAGATTTGTCTTTCAGGGCAGAAAGTCTGAGGTGGACAGAGAATATTTCTTGAGCAGTTGTAGTAAAACAAGAAGTCAGCCACCATGTTAACAAAGATGCACCTTTTTAAATTACTAGACCTCATCGAATTACCTGCAAAAATGTTACTTTAAAGTTTGGTAGAATTTTTATCTCTAAACTCATCTGGGACAGAATTTTTTGTCTTAGTATTCTTCAATCAGTTCATTAATTTGTCATAGAAGTATTCCTCTTATATTCCTTTTGGGTTACATGTTACTCACTTATACTTTTACTTTAATTTGTTTTTTTTCTCCAAAAAAATTATGTTTTCAAAATTTATTAATATTTTCTTAGCTTCTGCCTGGCCAATGTAGCTCAGTGGATGGAACGTCTTCCCATGGACTGAGAGGTCCCAGTTCAATTTCCAGTCAGGGCACGTGCCTGGGTTGTGGGCTCCATCCCCAGTAGGGGGCGTGCAGGAGACAGCTGGTGGATGTCTCTCTCTCACGTAGATGTTTCTGTCTCTCCCTTCCTCTCTTAAAAAATCAATAAAAACATTTTAAAAATATTTTTTTCTTAGCTCCTTTCACTCTCTCCTAAGATAGTGATTATATCCTTTTTATTTAATACTAAGTGTTGTAACTTTTATTCTTGTTCTCTGCCAAAATTCCCAAAGAGTTTCCTTTTAATTAGTCTTTCTGGAATAAATTAACTTTACCTTCTATACATTAATTCCGTTGTATTAATGTACAAATCTTATAATTTCTTTCTTTCATGTAGATTACTGTGATTTCTTTAGTTAAATTCTAAAGTTATGTAGTGAAATGTTTTGTTTTTAGTTTATCATGCATTTTCCTAAGGTAGCCAAATTGCTTCAAAAGCAGACTTACTTGGATTCAATGATTTAATCATATTTATCAGTATTACTTGATAGTAACATTATAAATTTATTTTGGTGTTGCTGAAGTTAGCTTAAGATGCAACAGAGAATTTGTACAAAATAGTTTCATTAATAAGTCTGGTGATTTTATTTATAGCCTAGCACATGGTATTGCCAGTAAATGTTTCATTTAGTGGATTCTATTGTCTGAATGTTTGTGTCCCCTCCAAATTTATATATTGAAATCCTAGCCCCCAGTGGTATCAGGAGGTGGGGCATAGGGAAAGTGGTTCAGTCTTTAGAATAAGGCCCTCATGCATGGAATTCGCACTGCTACTGGACCCCACAGAGATCCCTCGGCTTCCTCCAGTGAAGACACAGAGAGATGGCATCGACCCTGAACCAGGAGGGTCTTCCCCAGATCATGATCATGCTGGCACCTGACTCTTGAACTTTCCAGACTCAGAACTGTGAGAAATAAATTTCTTTTGTTTACAAGCTACATTGTACTTAGTTATAGCAGCCTGAACTAAGACAGTAAACATTTTAGTGATAATTTATATTTAATCATTGTTGGATGCAAAGGTTAATACATACTGTATGTCAGTTAGTTCAAGTACAGTAATAGTGTTGTTCAATTCACGTGCTATCAATTTTGTCTGCTGATTTATCAAGTATAGAAGTATCACATGCTTCTCACTTTAATCATATGTCAATCTCTTCTAGTAGTATAGAAATAATCACTTTATGAAATTGTAAGAAATCATATATGTTTTTATTCTCATATTTTATTAGTAGGGTATTTTTTATCGTTCTGTTCCAATTTCTGTTGGTGATAAAGTCTGTTTTGTGTATCTGATACAATAAAACAATTATGCTCTGCTTTTAGAATTATATTTTCACTGACTATGTATCAGAATATATTTTATTTTCACTTGGTCCTCTAATACTATTATTTCACTTTATTTTGGTATTCATTATTGCTATTGAGAAAACTGCTGTTATTCTCATATTTCATCTGCCATTTTAAATATCTTCCTTTTGCCTTGATGTTTGGTTGTATCATATCAATATATTTAGGTAATGACTTTTTTCAATTGAGTTTCATTGTACTTTCTAAATCTAAAGGTTTACTATATTTTTTCTTACATATTATATAGTAAAGTACCATATAAATGTGTATTTATATACATACATATTATTCTTTTATTATAATTTTTCTTTATTCATTTTAGAGAGAGAGGAAGGGAGAGGGAGAGATAGAAACATCAATGAGAGAGAACATCAATTGGCCACCTCCTGCATGCCCCCTACTGGGGATCAGACCCACAACCTGGGCATGTGTCCTGACCAAGAATTGATCTGGTGACCTCTTGGTACACAGGTTGACGCTCAACTACTGAGCCACACCAGCCAGGCTATATATTATTCTTTATTATACTATAGGAAATTCTCACTCATCATCATTTATTTTGAAATAAAAGATAACTTTCCCCTTTTCTATTATCTCTTTCTGGAATATACTTCGGGAATTTATCCTTTCTGCTGTTAATGATAAATTAAGTAGGATATAGTGAAACATATTGGTTCTCATTATTAGTGGTAGTTGTTCTATAAAATTACCACAAACATTGAATTTCTGAATACTGAACCTCTGTTCCTAGGGGAAATATAAAGTTAGGTTCCTATGAGTCTCCAGTCACAATATTTTCATCAACTGATCAATACATAAAAGTTTAAATCGTGTTTGTGTTCAAAGATACTTTATTTAGTGTATATTATTTATTAATTAACATTGAACTCATGGCCAAACAGCCCTACAACTCATGCTTGAACAAAGCTTTACCATTAGGCACAGCACTGCCTTTCTGCACAAGCATTTCAGTACTCTGCTTGGGGGCCACTACACAGCAAAATTGCCAGCAAAAACAGAAACATTCAACAACAACAAAAAAGATTAAAAGAAAAACATAAAAAAGGCACGAAATAGACCGGTACTCATGTATGCAGCCATGACACTCTGTAAAGGACCAAAGAAGGAAAAAACTCTGCACCCATTGGGAAGGTGGTGCCTCACTTGCCCCACCTGCCCCACCTCTAGTCTTCCCAGATCCACCTCCTCACAAATTCCTCTCCACTAGTCCAAAATATAAGTCTGGTCCCCAGAACTCTTTCGAGGCAAGTCACGTCCAGAGTCTGCCCACACTCCCTTATTTGAGTGTGAACTGTCACGTTAATAGAACTCTGTGCTTTACTGAGTCTTTCTGTCCCATTCTTGAACTCTTTCTTGTGTAGAGATAAGAACCTGGACGTGCCACTGGATAGAGGCCTCTCTTGGCCTCCTTCTTAGCCTCCAGCATCACAGTTGTCACTTCTATTAATACAGATCTTATAAGTTTGTTTCTTTGGAGCTGAGAGCCATCAATCACAATAGTCAAGGGCCCAGATCCTGAAGCCAGATTGCCTAGATGCAAATCCTGCATTCCCCTTAGTGTTTGTGCAGCTGAGTTCAAGTAGAGTCCCAAGTTGGACAGTCTTGGAAAGAGCAGGGAATAAAGCATTTGGTGGCTCAGACCAGGCTGGTTTTCCAAAACCACGTCCATGGGAACATTTGTTAGAGATATTTGTCTCTGTTATTGACCTATGTACATATTAGTACTGTTTTTATTATTACTATAGTAATACCTATTAAGTTACTATTATCTAATATAGACTTTCATTATCTCAACCTTTGTTACAAATCAAATGAGAAAGACATAATACTGTTTCTGGGATGATACACAGCGATATCTTAATCGGCCTCGAACTGGGGCTCTCCTTGCTCTAGGCAGAATAAGCAACTCTGAGGATGATTTTGTGAAATTAGTCATGTTAGTATTATCATGTGTTCATGGAATCAAACTTTTGAAAACAAAATATTTAAATTATTTCTTTTTTTTAATTTAATTTATTTTTGTTACAGATGTTTCTCCTTTTTTACCCCATTGACACCCTCCTCCCCATCCCCCTTCCCCGGCCCCATCCCCGGCTTAGTTGTCCAAGTCCATTGATCATGCATACATGCATATAAGTTCTGTGGTTTATCTCTTCCTACCCCTCCACCCCCTCTTCTAGGGGATGTCAGTCTGTGCCCTACTTTCATGTTTCTGGGTCTACCGTATTTCTCAGACTGTTATGTTCATTATATTCCATATATAAGTGAGATCATGTGGTATTTGTCTTTTACTGCTTGGCTTATTTCACTTAAGATAACACTTTCCAGGTCCCTCCATGTTGTCTCAAAGGATAAGAGATCTTTCTTTCTTACAGCTGCATAGTACTCCATTGTGTATATGTATTACTGCTTTTTTATCCATTCGTCTACTGATGGACACTTGGGCTGTTTCCAGATCTTAGCTATTTTAAATAGTGATGCTATGAACATGGGGGTACATGTATTCTTCCTGATTGGTGTTTCAGGCGTCTTAGGGTATATTCCTAGAAGTGGGATCACTGGGTCAAATGGCAGTTCAATTTTTAATTTTTTGAGGTAACACCATACTGTTTTCCATAGTGGCTGCACCAGTCTGCATTCCCACCAGCAGTGTACTAGACTTAAATTATGTCTTTAATTCATTAGGCTCAAGAGCAGAGAGAGAGGAGTGTTTGCAGAAAATGTATATATTTTCCAGTTACCCAAGTAATGAAACAAATTATAAATGATAATCAAAGGGCAACACACAAGTTACCTGGTAAAGACTATTAAAGTAAATACCTTCAAAAGTAGGGATCATTCATACCTGAACAACTTTCTGAGACTGCACATCCACAATTAAGACTCTGTCCAAAGTTGGCTGTGCAACATAAATGAACTTGTCTTTGACATTGACGGCTGAGGCCCACACACATTTCTGAACTTCATCTCCTTCAGCTTTGGGACAGACTTCATCCTATAATTTAGAAATTAGAAAAATAAAATGAGTACCTTAAATTGTGACATGGGTACGGCCATGTTCTGTATAAAATTAATTGATGTTTTCCTACTTTCAGCATCAAAAATTAAATATTATAATTAATAAATATATATATTGAAAGAGTTAAATTAATCACAATAGTATGCAGTACATATTTAAGCTCACTAAATGTTTATAGAAATAAATGTGAATGTTGGGTGGTTATTCAGAAAGGTTACTTAATTCAGAAAGTTTCTCAATTTGACATCAAGGTCAAATTTTATAAAGTCCTTTAATCTGCCCAATCTTTTTTATTCTACTGATTTATCCTAGAACTGCCTTCTTGTTCAATAATCCATAGTTTGGGCTGGATGGCCAAAAAAAACCTTCTATTTCTTCCTTTACTACACTTTGTCAAGAAATGAATATTGAAGGGCATGTCAGCCTTTGTGGTTTTCACTGGCAGACACATCACAAGTATAAGAAATGTCATTTAGCTCATTATTTTTGTTTTAGATTTTTCTCTATTGGTTTTATAATTCTCTCTATTTACTTACAGTTATAAAAACCACTAAGAAAAGATTTGTTGAACTGTACATAAAATATGTGTGTAATGATAAATACATATTTATATGCTGATGATATAATGATTAACGCTGACTTTTGTATTTTACTTGTTTTATGATATAGATCTGATCACTGATTACTGATAACTAATTTATTTATTTGTATACTCTGGTTAGTTACTCAAGCTAGATTAGAATACTCTGTTCTCTAATTCAAATAAAAACATATTTTTTCATCGGAAATTTCATTCACCATTTGTATTTAATAATCATGAAAGACAACCAACAAAATTTTCATTAGCAACACCACTAAGCATTTCTTTCTTTTCATTTGAAGATAATACTTATAGAAGATAAACCACAGGTGACATTTAATGATTAAAATGAACACTTCAACAATGTAACCCTTCTCGGGCAGACAACCATAAGAGGTGGTTTTCCTGTTTGCATAAAATTTGGAAAATAACGTAAAAACAAGAACACTCTGGAATGAGAAGCTCCGTATGTGGCCTGCTGTTCTTGTTCTCCAAAGTTCAGATCTGATTCAGGGAGGACCTGGAGTGTCTACTGACTTTTAAGACCCCGTCCAGAGGTTGTCAGGTTCGGCCAGAACTCCAAGAACACAGAGCAGTAATGTTGTCTACACAGCACAGGGGTCCACGCTTTCAGGACTTAAGCCAAAGAACAAACAAACAAACAAAAACAATAAAAATGAAAACTAAGCATCTAATGTATGCTTCTGGTAGTTTTGGAAGTATAAAATCAACTCCATTTCATGGAAGGTACCAAAATTACTCTACAGTGACTGCGTGTGGGGTCATCCTGAGTAATGTCCATGGCACCTTTAAGCAGGCAGCACTAATCTGAGGGCAGAAATCTGCCCTCAGCACATGCCCAGAAATAAAGGACAGTACTGTACTTTCATTCATCAATTTACTGAAACATTACTTGGTATGGCCAATAGTTTCTCTCTGAAGCATAGTAAACATCTTTGACAAGAACCTATTTTGTGATAATTAAACGCTATATACATATGTACTTGAGAGACATGAAGAGGCGAGAAAAAAGGGTTGACGGAAGAATCAGAATATGTGGAAATTGTTCACAAATTCTTTGCTGTTGTGTAAAAGCTACCAATGAAACCTGCCAACATCACAGGAACTGTGAGTGGCCTGACACCTAACTGTCAGCCAAACAACTGCTGAACCAAGAACAATTCCCACCTCTTTGTTTGCTACAAAACTATACAACAGTAAAATAAATGACTCTGCTGGGAATTATTTCCTATTTGTATGCTGTCCCCATAGGATGTCCCTGACCAGACTCACAATCATTTTTACAAAGTCATTAAAAGTTTCTTGACAGTCAGCCTGAATTTTCTTTGCTTCCCTTTATGCCATTATTTCTGATTATAGTCTATTAGGTCTGATTTTACAGTAGCACTCTTATTTTTTAAGATTACATAGATTAATATTGATCTCTGTGGGTAAAAATTGTAGAGAAATGTTTTTCACATGCATTAGGTATTTAATAGGATAACAGAGAAGCTAAAAAATACCAGAGATGTAAAATAGGATTAAGATAATACTGATGAGAAAAATTATCAGAAATTATATCAGTATCATTCAGTTACTTTTTATAGAAATGTATACTACTATTTAGAGTGAAAGGGATTAATAAGATATTAGATGAGGATGAGCATCAATAAGAAAAAGACAATTCTAGTTCATCATTATAATTTATCTATTTTCCTTTGGGTTATTCCCACATTTAATTACATATTTCATGTGTATGAATCAACCTCTTCAAAAATTATAAAGGGATATAAGATATATTACTAGTGATGATGGAAGTTTTGATTTAGCAATAAAAATAGTGTTGATGATACTTGATTTGCTAAATGTAAGTAGGTCACATCGATTAATATAGCCACTCATCTTCTATAGAGCTTTGTCATTTTTAGTTATTGTATTGATTACCTATTAAAAATACTTTGCCCTTAAGTCTCCAAATACCCATCTCTCCTCCCTACATCCCTCCTCTTCCTCCTCTTCCATCTTCTCCTTCTTCTTCTTATTCATAGTCCCCCCTTCAGCACATCTTGCATCATTGATGGAAGGCACAAATGTTATTTATCACAAGTAGCTCCGTTTTCCTTGCATCCAATTCAACAAGTTTCTGTCACCATTCCCTCCTTTCATCCTTCCCTAATATAGATGTGTCCACGGTCCTTTGCCCTTGGAAAGATCTGCCCCACATTTCATTTATAGTGTTAGTTATGTCTCCAAGTTCTCAGACATGCACATTCTCCTGCAATTTAAGAAGCAAACAATAAAACGTTAAATTGCTTCATCTACTTTCCTGTCTAATCATCTACCAGATTCTCTTCAGACTTTACACAGCTGTCTAAAACTTTATTTCCATGTTCTGAACTCTCTCTGTGAATTGTTCAGACTTCAAACTGGTTTTCATAATCCTCTCTCTTCCAAAAGAGATGTCCTGAAAAGTCATCTGTGGCTTCAGAATTTCCAATCATCAGTCTTCAGTTCTTGTTGGGAAGCAATTATTGATCATTTACTATGTGAGAGATACTGTGCAAAGCTATGTTTGGTAATAAAAATATGAATATGAGCCCTGGCCGGTTTGGCTCAGCGGTTAGAGCGTCCGCCTGTGGTCCAGAGAGACCCGGGTTCAGTTCCCGTAAGGGCACGTACCTCATTTGCAGTTTGTCCCCGGCCCTGGTTGGTCGTGCGGGTGACAGCCACTCGATGTGTCCCTTTCACGTCAATGTTTCTCTCTCTCTCTCTCTCTTCCTCTCTCTCCCTCCCACTCTGTATGAATAAAAAATGGAAAAATGTCCTCGGTGAGGATTAAATAAATAAATAAATAATATGAATATGAGAATGTCTGCTGTGAAGTTGCATATTATTTCTGCTGTATTTGGCTGTTTCTGATACTTGATTCTTTCTAAAATGTCTTCTTGTTCTTGTAAAGCAAAGATCGGCAAACAAGGGCCCCAGACCAAATTTAGCCCACTGCCTGTTTTGGTATGTGGTCCAGGAACTCAGGATGCTTTTAGCATTTTAATGGTTGAAAATTAATAAAAGAAGAATGTTATTTCATGACATATAAATATTATCTGAGATTCAAATTTACATAAATAAAAGTTTATTGGAGCATAGCTACACCTATTTATTTGACATGTATGGCTACTTTCATAACACAATGGCAGACAAAGACCATATGGACTTTAAAACCTATGATATTTACTATCTGGACCTTGTCAGACTAAAATGTTGCTGAACAGGGGTTTTAAGATATATCCCTAGCCTGGCTATCATTTTAATCCTATTGGTTAAAATTCTGTGTATAATGGCATCTTTATATTCTTTTCCCTAATCATGACTTCAAGAAAGCTAAACCTCAGACTTTGGTAATCTGCTCCATTTCCTTAATATTAAATTTAAATTAAATTAATTCTTACTGCTTTATTATTATCATGGTCAGATGACACCCAGGCTTTCTTTGTTTAGTCCCTTTACAGACTAAACTGATGAATGGGCAATTTGAAATGAAGATATAATAGAGGAAAAATGTATACTATATTAATGAAAGTAAAAATGTGATTCAAAGTTAAATAGAAAATAAATCAAGAAAAGGTGAAATACATGCACATACACATGTCCACACATAGTCAGATAGATAGATGATAGATACATTAGATAGGTAAGAGATAGATACACAGATGATATAGACAGATAGATTGATGGAATCTATCCAGAGATAAATAATAAGGCTTGATTTATATTAGGGAAGTTTAAAAACCTAAGCAACTTTGTAAAATAACAGGACTATTAGATAGTAAAATAACAGAGTATAATTGGCAAGAATAATCATATATAAACCTATGTATAGAGCATAATTATACTTGATATGTAAAATATCCTCTCTTTCAAGTTAAAAATAGACTTAATAATCAAAGGACTACCAGGCCTAGTTGCATGGATAACAAAAGCACTGAAAAGGCAAGGTAATTAAATATCAATAAGACATAAAAGTAAATATTTGATTTTTTGCATAACTTTGAATGCAAATGCAGTATGTAATATGCATAGCTGTGAATGAAGACAAAGTGGCATTAGTATTGTAATGAAGGTAGAAAGAAGTATGTGATAAATGAGGTGACCTAAGATGTATACACTCAATTTGGGCACTGAACTAGGCAGCATTGTGGATTTACCCAAGGGCGGTATGTAGACACTTCTAGATAGGTACTGAACTACTGGAAACACATATTTTGAAGTTTTGACAAACATGTAAACATAAGCATTTAAGTCTGAAATATTTCCTCAGTAAATACTTGTTTAAGTTTTAACTATCACTTATAACAACAACAACAAAAAATCAAGAAATGTGTATTTTTCAACCATA